GGAAAAAAAAGTTCTTACATAAGCTGCATGTGGGCCCACAGGCCCCAGGTTGGACACCCCGGTAGAGTATACAGATTTTGTTAGCACTCTGGTCTAGAGAACAACAGAAGAGTTAGCTATTTCTCTCTTTTCCAATTGTAAGGAGAACAGTGTCAGTTGTCTTTTAGAATTAACAGAAGAAACAATGTTCATAGAGTCAAGAACTGACGGTGAGAACTACAAATAATTTGGAGCAAGGTTTTTTTTATAAATGCTACTTTGAATTTCTCAACAATCTCCTGTGTATTTATTAGTTTTATTGTTCGTAGTGGTTTTGCATTAGAGTCAATGGGCATAATTTAAGATCATAACATTATGTTAAGAACATAACACTATATCGATAACGTATTGTATCACCTCTCTAACACTGGGCAATGCGCACCACTCACCCTACTCATGCCGTCTGGTCCTGGGTGGGATGGATGTCCAGGAGGCCCAGGAGAACCAGGTTGACCAGGAACACCTGGTTCTCCATCAATTCCCTGAGGACCACGAGGACCCTGTAAAAACAAGCCCAGGGAAATTAGAGTCTGCTGCCAAACATATACTTAATAAGACCCTAAAAGCATAGACTTGATCTTCATGGCAATGGAGTGTTCTTTATTTTAAAAATAAATGACAATCTAGGCACCTAGGGTAATTCACCAGCTATGTCACACTGTGGATTTCTGCACTGGTCAGAGCTTCTACGGTTAGGATATGGGCTGGGTAAGAACTTTACTTGATGTGTTCAACCCCAGTAAGTACCCTTCTTAGAATAATTATAAAATTGCTTTCAGTTCAACAGTATTCCAGAATTGGCTTCCTTTTTTGATTGAATTCTGGTGTTCAAGGATATTTAATCAATGATTTCTAAATTCACTTACCTGTCTTAAATTACAGTTAACTGTGCTTATGTCTGCTTAAACTCCCCCTCCCCTTAAAAAAGATGAGAGCTGATTGGCTCTGGTGGGTTTTTTCATCTTTCTAATTGTTTAGTGCTTTACATAGCTCCTAGTACATAGTAGATAATCAAGAAGTTCATATTATGTTGACACATTTCAGTCTTTTTTATTTCTTTAAGTCTTACACACTTTATATTCCTTCCCACCCTCAGGGGCAGACTAGACCAATGAGAAATTAGAGGCAAAGGCGCTGTGACCCAGCCAAGGCTAGTCCTCAAAGGAGTGAGCAATGGTTTCCAGCTGCCAAATTCCACCCTTCTAACCCACATTTTGAAGGCAGCTTGGGGAACAGCCACGTCCTCAGTTCTGGAAATGCTTCATCCCATAACCTCATCATTCCCACAAGACATGTTAAGTATTTTCTGGCTCTTTAACCCTAAAGAGTCTTGACAGGCTTTAAAAAGAAAGAAGCAAGAAAGTCGCAGGACAATATACTTTTTATAATTAGAAACAGGGATCAAGAAAAATATGGTAAAATGTAGTTTAATAGTAAAAGCAGCTTCTCCTGATTGAACATGAGAATACACACCAGCCCACAGTGAACAATTCACAGCTGATCGTACAGAGGGTGTAATGCAGCCAAGCCCAGATAGTGGAGGCCAGTTTGCATATGATGGTGTGTGGGAGGGTGGCATAACAGCCACTCAGAAATTTAATTATTTTAACATATTCAAACATTTATATACATATGTTTGCTTCTTAGAGTAGTGGGACAAATCATCAAATTTATTTATTCAAATAAAGGCAGATAACTTAGACTGAAAAACTCACATTTAAGAAAATGATTTCTTAGAAAACTTATCTTTTAAAAAGCAAAATCTGGGTGGTGCCTGTGGCTCAAGGAGTAGGGCACCAGCCCCATTTACCAGAGGTGGCAGGTTCAAACCCAGCCCTGGCCAAGAGAAATCAAAACCCTTCTGTCTCTTAAATTACTGACAATTCACTCTTTTCGTTATATATAACAGAAACTGATTTTAATTGCTATCTATGACTCTTAAGTCATATGAATGCAAATAACATGAACTAGAAACATATAGTCTATAGCATCACAGACAAGTAGTCTAGTTACTCTTAGAGCCTTGGGGGGCAGGGAGAGTCTTAAGGTGTTTTTGCAATGTTCTATTGCTAATTGATAACTAAGTATCATTATGTACAAAAAGTCAACTAACATATAATCTCTTACCCCAGTGAGATTTCCAAAGAAGAAATAAAAAACTACATTTAATGTCAATGAGAACAGAGAGACATCTGGGTAATATTAACTATCCAAAGAGATCGTGTCTTTTTCCTGTCCTCTGGGGTTAATAATCATATCTCAGACTCTGATCCAAAGATTTTTTTCTTTGACTTCACTATTCATTATTTTCCCCTACTGAATTCCCTCTAAATACATTATATGATTTATTCTTATACAAACAGAGTTTAAAATTAATAAAAACTTCCAGAACTTATCCAAAATAAAGTGGACATAAACAGATTTCAAGTGAGACTATGAAAAACTAGCATTGGTACTGATAATTATTGGAAAAATTATAATTTGACAATTCATTAAAAATGTATTTTATATATATTTAAAGCAACTTAATCAAATAATTCTGATATCGTGGTAAATATATTTATCATCATTTTTTCCCATCCCTGGGATCCAGTATCTCAGGCAGTAATCTACAATAACAAGTACTCACAAACTACCACTAGGTGGCAATCTTTAAACACCCACAAGTAGGAAAAAGATTGATGAC